ATTCTTCAACTTTCAGAGTTGTCAGACAACTGTCCTTAAATAGTTTATACAGACACGGGGAAGTTACACAACCCTGTCCGACACCTTTATGGAAACCAAACTAAACCATCAACGGGGCCTACTCGGACAGTAGGCCCCGTTGATGTATATCGGTATATACGCAGGAAGCACAAAAGTCCCTGTAAAGAGATTTTAATGCCTGTATCAATCAACTCAAATAAGTCCAGTGTATATCATGAAACATCCCCGTCTACTGTTATAAACATTGTCCAAGTCCAAGCACGCATAAAAAACGTTTCGGTTTTTTTTTGCCGAAAACTTCTCCGCGATCATGCGTATAGAATAGACCTGATCCGTACACCACATTTCCTATCTAAAACTGCTTGCACATCCCAAATTTTTCCGTCAGTTTCTTTCATAACTCTTTCAATCTTCGCCTTAGCATACAGTTTTCCTACAATACTAAGTGAAAATAATGTGTATTGAGAAAAATAGCTATAGCGGTTCTGAACTTATCATCAACATCTTCTACTTCATTATCAACCTGTAAAAGTCCACTGTAAAAGTTTTTCACAAGCGCCAAGCTTGACACACCAATTGGTGATAATAGTATCAGACGTCGTACTCAGTACCGTCAAAGGTGGGAGACTTCTAGTAGATGCTGCAAACACCAATCCGCCTGCCTGCCAAACGTGGCGGTAACGGTATATCTTCATGACGACAGGAGAGGCTCAAGGCCGGCAATGATTATTTTACGGATTAATGATTAAAATGGCAAAATTGCTTCGACAATAACAAAAAATTCTTAAATTAATTTAATATAAATATAATTTCATGAAAAATTTATAGGATTGAATGTTCTAATATGAACAGTGATTTTATTAAGGTCCTGATAATTTAACGGTAAAAATATTATCTTTATTAAACCTGTAAAATACACACATTAAAAATCCCTAAAAGCTTTTCCCCAAAGACCAAATTAATGTTGCGCGGAACTGAAATAGAAATGGATATTCACTAATAATAATTATCGTTTTTTACGTTGCTTTCAAACGAACCGCAACAAAATTGCTTGCGGAATATTTACTATAGTTTAAACAAAAATCTAAAGCTATGGACTGTTTGCCTCTTTGAGCATGACAAAAATAGTACCTACGCGAGCGACATTTTCGCGGAGTACGCCTGTAAACTTGTACCTAAACGCTTTAAGTTATCAAACCGCAATTATAGTTTAAAAATAAATTGCTACTGAAATAAAAAAGTAAAGCCGGCAAAGGTAGGGTTCGTACAAAATTAACTTTCAGAAGTGGAAGTTTTCTCGACTGTCTTATTCACTTAGTAAGAGTTCCAAAGAAAGCTCTTAATTAAAATACATTTTTTTAAAGCTTTTTAAGGCAATACACAATTGTTTTTTGTAATAACTACTCGTATAAAGTCATAATGTTTAATCTATATAATATCAATAAAGTTAATTGTAAATATTTCGTTAACAACGGAGGCATTTATTATAAATTTGAAAGAAAATGCAGTTTCCATTACGTGAGATAATGAATTACTTTTAATACGTATCAGACACAACTTAAATGAAATATACCAAATATCTTTTTTGAAAAAATATACGAGGATATCTGGGCGGCGTTTAGTAGTAGTCTATACAAACGTGTTTCCCCATATAGTGAGACTATATAATACAATATATATATTCTAGGTGGTAAGACTCCTTTCTGCCTCGGAGTCCGTCTACCTAGGAACCGCTTTCTTATCTAATTCTGGCGGTGCTATCATTGCTTTGTTCTTTTCTGAAGGATAAAGGGAGTCATTATTGTTAAAGACAGTGAGGCATTGAAAGAAGGGAATACAGGATGACGATTTCGTCAATCTTTTCACAGGTATTATCAGTCCTGCACTGCACTTGCCTCTTTCAGTTGACCGCATTCAGCCCGCATGTTCCCTAAAGTTGCTTATTTGAAAAATCTGATTCAACATTGGTTACGTGGGCGGTTTTCAACCGCTTACTGTATCGATCATTCGGTAACACGTTAAATCGTTGAAATATTTATCGTTTTGGTTCGTGAAGTAACAAGGTTGACGGTTTCATGGTCTACATACGATAAGGAGTACACGAATCAATGGGAATTACAAATGACTTTAAAGAGGAAACAAGAAATAAGTCCACACAAATAATTAAGGTATTATAGAAATTGGAGCAAACTTCATATTATTATATTGCGTTGTCTTAAGCTGTTAAGATTTATTTAACTTTTAAACAAAATAAATCATCGGTAATTGAATACCTCAAGAAAGTTGTACACAGATAAGCCTCAGACGAGCTAATATAGTAGAATGAGACACACCCTCATTCCATTGTACCTAACGACCTCTAAACGACCTCCAATTTAAATGTTTATCAAGAACCACCCTGAACGTTCAAGGTTATTTACCGTATAGTAATACGAACACTCGGAAAACTGAAACAAACACATCACAAAAACCGTAATCAATTGAGTTTCGCATTTCTTATTGACGTTGGTGAGTTCCAAGTGAATAGGTAAAATGATTTTAATATTTTAAAATTTAATATAAACAATAAGCTTATTAATTTATTTATTTAAACTCTTATGTACAAAAAGTAAAATCGCACATATGGCGGACTTAATGGCTTTAAAAATTCTCTCCCAGTCAACCATTACGATAAGCAGAGATAAACATGTAGGAGGAAGTGCAGCAAAAATAAACTAATAAGGAGAAAAAAAAGGTAACGAAGTTATAAATTTCTTATAATACGACATTAAATTTTTTCACACATGGCATTTAAAATTTCGTAAAAAAAATACTGTTTGTATAGAATTGCTTACAAGTGTAAGAACTGTAAACTTGAATACATAACAACTAATTGGATATCTCTTTTCTTCCTTCTTTATCAGCTTAACCATAAAGATGATGATAAACCAATTCACTTTTAGAATTATATAAAATTGATAATATTATGTATAAATTCTTGACGAGTAATGACGATAACAGGTAATCCGTCATCCAATTTCGATCCATGGGTAGTCGTAAGAGACGTCTGTAGAAAAGATCAAAAAGGCTTGGTGGCAATCACTTACGACGAGGAATAAAAAAATAAAGTTACAGCCTATGCACGTCCTGTTCGGCACAGATTTCTTCTTATTTCTAAAAGGAGTTATTTAAATATGTATATCACAGTAAGTCCACTGCTGGACATAGGTCTCTACTCCTTACAAGGAGGATTTGGCTAAATCGTCAGGGTTGACTATCGCAGCACCAGTACCAGGCGTACAGCACCTTTGACGCTAATGCTCATCGCCGATCTAAGTTTTGTACATCTAGCAAAAGCGGGATGGATATACCGCCATCAGACAACCATATATTAAAAGCCATAAGATTTTTCTGGCAATAAAACTATGTTTACGGATTTTATCCTTTACTCCCGTTCCGTAAGTCTTTGATCCCGTGAGCATGGGTTGCTGTAAAGCACTCGAAACGTCTGGAATTAAAATAAGTAAATAAAACGCGATTGAATAAAACTATGTTTATGGATTACCATAAACATAGTTTTATTCAATGTGTAGTGTTCGCGTAAATATAAGAAATCATTATTTTTCTGGCAATCCAGTCGCCACGGAACGAAATGGGATATCGATTCTCCCGTCGCGCCGCTACGACATTACACCACCACACGGCAAATATCGAATATCTTATGTATGCTAAAAATTAAATATTGGTTTTGTCTTTCGTAACAAAGGAGTGGAGAAATATGTCGCCGTCTGTCTTTCCATCCGATTACAATCGGGGCGTCTTCAAGGCAATAGTGAATAGGCCCTTATTACGCTAACAGTGCGATTTCCCATCTAGGGCATCATAACCTCTTACCACCAGGTGCAATTGTAGTCAAGCACTGCCAATCAATTAAAAATAAAACATAAAACATAACTGTCATATCAGTATGTTCTATGATGCAAATTCAAATGGCTAGTTGCTAATAACAAATATTCTTGGAATCGGTTCAATCAAACAACATGCGAATGAACCATCAAGCGAATAAAATTACCGCAACATTTGTTATTCCCTTCAAACGAGGCTTTAGGTTTTACCGCGCAGTAAACGTCACTCTTCATTATCGAGGGGCAAGTCAAGAGGTTCCTGCGGAAGATGCCGCAGCTATTTTGCAGGCCTCGGAGAGAAGGGACCGTAATAAATATCAAATCAATTACAGACATAAAACTTCATTAAGCAAATTTAAACATCAATTTGATGATTACATAATATTATTGTAAAAAGGATCGGGTTTTTCCACTATTTACCGTACGGTATATAGTGGAAAAACCCGATCCTTTTCATATTTTCATATTTTTCTTTAAAAAAAGCATACTAAATCACTAACAGTACTTTCCCACTTCATAATATTCTGTGATAAGGGCTCATCAAAACATCCTTAAATGTTTTAGTAGATTCCCATGAATAACAAAGTCCGTACGCAAAGAGTCGTAGACATAGCTTATTTCAATATGTTATAAGATATTAAAAACTTCTAAATTATAAAAAATTTAGGAAGAAAATAAAAACGGGCAAGCGGATACTTTGGCATGGTATATCATACATATGTCATTGAGAAATTGTAGCGTACCTTCGAGGGCCATTAATACGAGTAGTTAGATATGATTTGTATAGAAGCAACACGGAATTAGCTATGCTATTCGAAAAAAAAATTCCAAACCTTTATAAATTCATCGGAGTTATGCCGGAATGAAGGTAAATAAGAACGTAGAAGTAAGAACGTCCTTTTTAAAGTCAGTCAAAAAAAGTAATACGATGGATAAAAGAGATATTTTTGGTAGCTATTATTCTTATAAATTGTTAAAATTAACAGCGGAAATCATATATCTCTTTTTATATTCAAAAAAACGAGCAACTTACTCTAATTTGGGTAATTTTTAAATTAGAAAAAAATATAGTTCTTAACAACATTCGTTACTGACCTGTGGTGTTGCCTGTCATCTCGATGATGCATTTGCATTCTTTGGAGATCTCTCGTGAGTTGAAGGGGCGGACCCTGACCGCCACCTTCACCGACGACATGGTGGCTGTGACTGTTTGCTACCGTCGCCACTAGCACATCGGTTCTATTACCGTCTTACACCTGTAACCAAACAAAAAATCAGTCTATTAGTTACAAGTTTTGGAATACGTGTTTATGATATTGAAGTGAAAACCGAACCAATAGTCTACGATAATTGTCTGCTGCAGTCCATAAGGCATGCAACCAACTTCAAACAAAGAAAGCTACAGATACGTTGTCACCTCTGTGGACTAAGATGGAATACTTTTCAGCTTGTAATTAAACTTATGTAAATATATTACAGTACACTTATTTAAATTCTTAACGCCATGTGGTAGTTGCTATAGGATCCTCGAAGGAAATAAATACCTGAAGTATTTTTTTTATATAGGGTAGGGTGACAAACGAGCAGACAGTCCACCTGATGGTAAGTGGTTGCTGTGACACATAGACGTCTACATCTATCCTCAATAAAGAATCAAAATGCAGATGCCTTGTCACCCGTGAGGACTAAGATGGAATGCCTCTTTTCCAGTAAAAAAGGTCTCCGGTTCTCTACATTCACCATACGAAACACAACAGTGTTAAGCTGCTATTTTACGCTGGTATTTATTTTGAGATTAAGAAGTTATTTTGAGATCTCCGACAGATATCTATCTCGTTACAGACCATACAACCAGACCGTAAATGCCTAGAGCAGTGACGGGAACACCGTTAAAGATGTTAAATGTCTGGCATAGCGGAAATGCATCTGCTACGCAATGCAATTACGACAAACCGTCCATGCTTATCTCCTTGCAAACTGTCCCTCTATTTCGTAGAGATTAGTCTTTCAGTTATCAGTCTAGTCTTTTTACTAAATGACGCCGCGCAACCAGCGGCCTGAATGTTATTCAGACAATGCGTCTAATACAACATTGCACATATATCTTGTAATATCAGCGACAGTAGGTTAAGGTGCGACTGGAGTGGCCCTTGGGCCACCCTAAAGCCGCGTACTTTCATATAATATAGCACATAGCGCTAATTAGGCACAGACCAGCGCAGTGACCGTCTCTTTGAATGGAATTAATGGCCACTAATTATTGCATTGCTCTATATTCCCGAATGCTCGCCAACTACCTACTATGTAAAAAAATTGTTCAATATTTGTAACTAACTGTGAAATTATTTAAAAAGAATCAATATTTTTTTATCTCTGATCTAGAATACGTCGACTTAAGTCGAATTAATAAAAACACTGTACGGAACGAATATGATTTTGTGCCATTTGAAGTAAGTATAAAACAGACAAATATAATTGTGTACGTACTTCAAATTCAAAATCACTAACAGTATTCAAAAGCAAAAGTCAGAACAATAATTGGTTGTGTTTATTGAGTACGGCGAGACGGCGAATGTGTTTGTGAAAGCATAGACTTTTCAATTAATTGTGAAGATAAAGAGATAAAATTAAGTAAAGGAGATTTTATCGGACGAAACAAAACGTAAGGTACTTTTAACAGATAAGTTAACTTTCGGAGAAGCCTAGCTTTTTAAATCGTTTGCCTAAAGCTACTTTAAGGAATATCCTACTTTATTTTGATCGTTCAATAGTTTTATTAAAGAAAGTGGACTAAATGTTGTATGTGTTGCATTTTTACTTTAATCCTTTCATTGACAGTTGCAGAATATTGATTGACTATAAATGTGGTCTTCTCTAACATATACAGAACAAGAACAATCAATGAGTCATACGAAAATGGCGATGCACAAAATAGAACAACATTATTGTCCAATGTAAGAGTTAATAAATAATCTGGTTTGATCATAATAACGTACTACGCAGTTTGTTAGGTTTGGAGGCTGAAATAGCGGTCCGGGCTACCGTTATTTCGGCAGTCTCAGTTCGCTGCACAACTAAGGCAAATACACGCTCGCCAGCTGTTTTCATAAGAACGCGAACAAAGCCTCTAAACGAATTACTTGCAATATTTTTGTAACGGTCACGGCACTGTTTTTAGGACAAGAGACACTAAATTTGTCAAAACACTAATATTATGCAATATGAAAATTATAGACAATTCAATTATTTCGAAATATAAACGCCACTTTCACAATACATATTGTATCACACAATATCCATATCAAACGCGGTGATATTAAGCACAGAAACGATTGTCAGAAGCATAACGGCACATACGACTGATCCACAGTTCCTTACAGCACGAGGTTCGCGTACAAAATGGTGAATGTATTCCTGAAAACGATCCTTGCGTGCCGTAATTGCTAACGGTCGGCTGAACACAGAGTCGAAAGTAGCGGCCGCCACGGCCGGTGCACTCCTCATGTAATTACGTAACATCAACTGCAACCATCCTCCATTCGCAGAAAATCCACGAGATCGAAGAGGCGGCCATGAAAACGTGTCGCCGCAGAAATGACTCACCGTAAACACTAGCGCCCTCTAGCAGTCAAGATGTTTCGAGATCCGTGAGAAGCATGGGTTAACCTTGGGAATGCATTTGTTACGGCGATAGATGTTGAAATGATGGCCGCTATGGACTTACCCCGGTGTTTCCGGTGCTGTCCACCGCTTTCACAGTGTTTGTTATTCGAAGGTTTTAGAGCTGCTCGCTCAGGTCAGGTCGTAGGTTTCGCCGGCATGGCGTCGCGGTGGGGAGCGCGATGCGACTGCGGGCTGGAGGCAGCGGCGGTGGAGAAGCCAGCCGGCGCATGCGTACTGCGATCACCGCCTTCGATCTAGCACCGAGGTGCGCGGCAACGACTCCGCGCATTCACCACCGCAAATAACGTTAACAAATCCACACGGCGATTTCTAGAGCTCTACCGTCCAAGTACAGTTGAATCGAGTCTAGTTTACAAGATTGGAACGTTTTTTCATTGACGCCATTCGGTTCTAAGGTGTGGGAAGCATTTAGCGCCTGTGGGGCTTTTGCGAATCTAACACCCTTTTTATTTGTCGTCAACTCTACTAAGTACATACAAATATTATAAATATACAATATCTGGGTGCATATAATGTAGGATGGTGATATTAAATGAAGGAATCAGGAAATGTAAATGCGCAATAAATTAGGGGTAGAAGTCTGAAAGCAATGCTTATTCGAGGCACGTGCGCTTTGATTTCAACAACCCTCATTCAATCAGATATTAGAACCTAAGTATATATTGTCCCGCTGGGTTTCTTGTTGGTAGTTTTACAATGAAATTAACCTTTGTGCTGGAAAATTCCAGCACAAAGGTTATTTTCATTGTAAAAAAAAATAATAGATTCCAATAAATATTCCTGTAATCTATATTGAATAAAAATTATTCTGTTCTATTCTATCCATCCTAAATTATAAGTAATAGTATAGTGCGTGAGGGTAATGTGGTTGTCCGGTTAATATGGTCACTTTCATATAACTCAAAAACTACAACCTTGTTTGCATGGATGGCTCTGTGATACGATAGCTCTTCTTCAGTCAATCAAATAATAAAGGGTCTAAAGGGCGCTGCTTTATCGACGCTATTTTGGCAAGTGACATTATAGTAAATATTTAAGTAGATTTTAGTATAGCATAGTTGGTTAGTCTTTTTAAGCTGTTTTGTCGAATTGTTCCTAATTATTGCCAAAGCCTGTTTGCTATTTTTTTTTCTTAATGTATTAGTTATAGTATACGACTTTGTGTTATCGTCTCTGTCCTCCTGTCCTGTTTTGGTTTTACAGGGCGGTAAAGCTTAAGGTGACCATATTGCCCTCACGTACCTTAATTTTAGATGTTAATTTCGTACGTCATGTAATAACGATTTCACCAAATGTTTTTATAGTTTCTTTCATAATCATCAATACATAAAGAAGGCCTCATCATTTGACTACCACAAAACACGATTCTAGCGACCTAAATGAATCAAAGTCAAATACAATTTACTCCTTTAGAAATGAGAGAAAGTCCTTTATTGTCATTCACCATCACTTTTTACAGGTGAATTGACGATCACAGTAGGATTTACTACATTATTATTTTTAAATATTAGGTATTTACTATATTTATTTTCACAGTAAGCGAGCAACCCAGATTCGATCTCCGCCGGCGCCAATGAAATTATTAATTGTAATTTTAAGTGCTGATTTACCACATGCTCGGCTAAAACCTGCATGTGAATTTGTGAGAAATGAGAGTAGGCTTTTGCCCAGCTGTGGGATGTACATAGGCTGTAACTTCATGTATTTAATAATAATTATTATGTATTTTAACTGTACCGTGTAGTGTCGCCGTAAGAGAATCCACTACCCCATATCAACCAGTAGGTTTCGTGAGCTCTACGGGGAAATAAAACAGAAAAATTCGCCTGCCAAGCGTGGGAACTATGGCAAATATCCCCATATGAGGCAATCCATGGACGAGACTATGTTCAGAAATGGACTGTTGTAAGGCTGTAATAAATTAATGAATGTATTTAGTTAATTTCATAGCTTGTTACGTTGTAATGCGACTGACATTGAAACTATCTTTGTTTTACAAAAGATAGCCATATAAAAACGATTTATAATCACGGTCCAAAAGAATCTCATAGAAAACTTTAAAGATATGAATATATTAACTTTGGCCTATCACTATATTTACGGAAATTTGAATGTACGTGCACAAGAAACAAATAGTTATATTAAAAATAGTGATACATTCTGTTACTTGTTACTTTTATAATTTTAACAGGGTATTCCCCCAATTAAAATGGGATCACATTTAAATTTGAAGAAAAGATTCCAAAGTGGAAAAATAGGGGATGATATTGACATTAACACTTGAGGTTGTGATATTGACTTATACACTCAAACGGGACAAATAATATTTAAACTCAAAAATGTACAAATTGTACCTATTAAGTGTAAATTATTTTTTCTTTTTATTTTAGTTTTTTTTTAAAGTCGGTGTTTACTATTCAGAGTTCCATTCTTCAAAAGAAAAAACAAAAGTTTATAGAACCACCTTGTGGTTCGTCTGACCTTCTGTTAATAGACTTTTTTCAAGTAAGG